GCCACCCCTCAAACGTGCCCTGCCCATTCCTCACCCAGGCCACGTCTACATGGGCCTCCCTCCCTCCCAGAACACACCAACTGGGGAGCCAAAGGGGAGCCGTATGAGAGGGACCTTGGAGGGGCTGCCTGAGTGTGAGCCCCAGCTCCATCTCTCACCGGCTGAGGGGCTCTGAACAAGTTACTTGACTGCGGAGCCTCCGTGTTCCTGTCTGCACATGAGCCCTGTACCACTGTCTTCTCTCATCTGTCTCCTTCTTTACTGTTCATGGGCGTCATTTGCCTTTCGGAAGGGAGAGCTAAGACAGGCACTAACTATAAGATATGCTGTCCTGTGACCTCTCCTGTGTCCCCTCTGCCCTCTGGAGTCAGCAGAATAGCTCTTGGCGCCTCCACTGCACTTCCCGGGGAACCTTCTGGCTCTGGGGTCCCACAGGTTGGGGTGTCCCACCGGGGGACAGAGCCCTGGCTTCTGCGTCCCTGCCTCCCGCAGCCCCTGTGCAGCGATGAGCAAGCAACTCATGGATGAGCTAGAGGCACAGATGGAGGGACTGCCCATTCTGGCACCTTCTTGGCGGAAGCGTTCAGACCAGAACAAGGAGGAAGTGACAACGGCTGGGTGGGGCTCCCTGGGCTGGAGGAGGTTTGGAGCCAGGTGGGCATGGCCAATAGGGCCACCGCACCCAGGTGGGAGGAGCAGCAGGGGCCCAGATTGGGAGCAAGGGTCAGCTGGGGTGCGGCTCTGTCCCTGCACCATCTCCCTCCCCACCAACTTCGGAGAGAGAGGCGCTCCTGGAGGCAGCACTGGCTAGCTCCGCAGCTGGCGGCTTCAGCAGGCCCAGGGGGAGCAGAGCCAGATGTTTAAGCTTTGAAAGAAGTTTGCCAGACCCCCCCATGGCGGAGATGTGGCAGGGGATGGTGGAGGTGGCTCTGCGGGCTCCGGGAGGGCCTCCGGGTCAGCCTGAGGAGCAGTCTGAGCTAACCCCTTGAAGCCTTAGTCGGGCCAATCGTGTGTGCTTTGGTTCCCTCTCCTGGAAGCGTGTGGTACACGCACGAGGCTTGCGATGGGTTTTACCCACATTTTAACCCTTTGCTTTTGCTCTTTTCTCTGCACCACCTTCAAACCACAGGCACGCTTCAGCAATGACACCAGTTGTGGATCCCATGAGAACCACCTCCCAAGCGCCATGAAGGGAAGGACTTACTGACACAATTCTATGTGTCTGACTCTGGGCAAATGTGAATATTTGTTCATTGAAATTTGACTCATCCACGCTAGAGGAAAAAAAAAAAGCTTCCCACGTCTGAATACCTTACTTCTTTTGGTTGTTAATCCTCCCCCAAGGATATTTTTTCCATTGCTTTTTAGGGAGAGTAGAGGGGAGTGATGGAAGGGGAGGGAGGCAGGAAGGGAGAGAGAGAGAGAGAGAGAGAGGAAAGGCACATCGAATGATTGCCTCCTGCATACGCCCCCACTGGGGCCAGGGATGGGACCTGCAACCCAGGTATGTGCCCTTGACTGGGAATCAAATCTGAGACCCTTTGGTGCATAGGCAACCCTCACTGAGCCACACAGGCCAGGGCTATCTCACTTTCATCATTACGTCTTGGGATGCATGTCTGGCGTCCTCAGAGTTTCTAACTCACCCACCAACCAAATGTCATAAACCTTTTCAGGGATTGTAAATAAGGAGAGTGGGCCGTTCATTCATTCATGCAGTCAGTTAGGGTTTGTTGAGCATCCCCCCACCCCCACTGTCCGAACCCAGGACTAGGGATGCTGGGGACAGTGGAGCATTCTGCTAAGAGCACAACCTCTGAAATCAGGGAGATGTGGGGCTGGACCCCAGCTTTGCTTTCTACAAGCTTCATGGCACTGAACAAGTTTTACGAAGCCTCAGTTTACTTGCTCGAATAGTTAGAGATGATAGCATCTCCCTGACAACACTGGAGAGGATTAAATGAAATCATGTAGTAAGGCGCTCAGCTCTTAGAGTCCCCTGCTGCTCCTGATATGTGGAGTGGCCAACAAGTCTGGGAACAGACAAGAATGCATAATAGATGGCTTGTTGATGTTTGTTACAAACTGTACTAATAAAAAGGTAATATGTTAATTAGACTGGATAGACCGGACGTCTTCTGAAATCCTTCTGGACAAAGTCACAGTGGCGGGGGCCGAGGCAGAGGCAGTTAGGGGCAATCAGGCTGGCAGGGGAGAGCAGTTAGGAGCATCAGGCAGACAGGCAGAGGCAATTAGGGGTGATCAGGCAGGCAGGCAGAGTGGTTAGGGGCAATCAGGCAGGCAGGCAGAGGCAGTTAGGAGTGATCAGGCAGGCAGGCAGAGTGGTTAGGGGAGATCAGGCAGGCAGGCAGGTGAGCGGTTAGGAGCCAGCAGTCCTGATTCAAGAGGGGTGTCTGACTGCCAGTTGGAGAGGCTGTAGGCCGGGCTGAGGGACGCCCCCCCCCCCCGTGCACAAATTTCGTGCACTGGGCTTCTAGTCCTATATAATAAATGGGTAATATGCAAATTGACCAAATGACAGAATGACTGGAATGCCCACGGCCCCTTGCCCTGGCCGGCCCCACCCCCAAGGAAGCCCCCCACCCCAACTGGGTGCAGGGCTGGCTGGCAAACTGCCTGTTGCCCCTAGCCCCAGCCAGCTCGCCCCCAATGGCCCCCATCGGGGGCAGGCCGACTGGACCATACCAGTGCACGAATTTGTGCACCGGGCCTCTAGTATGTAATAAAATACTATCATCTCTGTTTCCAGACTGTCCGACCATGTGTTCACCCTGCCCTTGGTGAGTTTTCAGTCTAGAACAGTGGTTCTTTAAGTGTGGTCCGTGGACCAGTGGTATCAGCATAACCTGGGAACCTGTTAGGAAATGCAAATTCTCAGACTCTCTGAATCAGAAACTCGAGGGGTGGGGCCAAGCTATCTGTCTGAACATGCTCTCCAGGAGATTGTGAGGCACACTCAAGTCGGTGAACCACTGATCTAGGGAAAATGACCATGTGCAAACGAGCAATTACAATATAGGTGGGCTTCCCCAAAGAAGTGACGCAGCGAGCAGAGTCTTGAAGGAAGAGTTCAGTGTTCACAGGCAGACACAAGTCGTGCTAGAGAGGGATTAGCACTTGCAAAGGCTGGGAGGCGTGGAAGGGAGGTGAGTGTTAAGGGAACCACAGCCATTGGGTCTGGCAAACTGGGGAGTGTGGGAGGCCAGGCTGGAGAAGGCAGGAGCCAGATGATAAAGCCCTGATGGGTGCCTCAGTTTATCCTGGAGCTGGAGGCATGACAGGTTTTCAATGGAGAAAGGAATGACCAAATTTGCATCGTAGGAAAAGAGCATTCTTGCGGCAGCGTGGCCTGGAGGCAGGAAGATATGGGTGGAGGCCGCCAGGATGATCAGGTGAGAGCCCCTGTGGGCATGATGAACTCAGGATGAGGAGTGGGTGGGGTGAGAGATACCTGGGAGAGCTGAGGCGGGGTTGGCTTGAGGCTGTCTCGAAGGGTTCTGCTGTGTGGGGTAGGTGTTGATGATGGGAAGGCGATGAGTTCAGAACTCGAGGTGCTCTAGGCTGGTAGCTGAAGCAGATGGGCAAGAAGGGGAGGAAAGTGTTCCCAGGCAGAGGAACCGCAAATGCAAAGGCCCTGTGGTAGGAATGAACTTGGCGTGATGAGGAAAAAGAAAAATGAAAACCACCGTGGCTGGCCAGCGGTGCGAGAGGAAGACAGGGCCAGACCACAGCAGGTGCAAAGCCATTTGGGACTGATGAGAAGAGATGGTACATGTGAAAGCGCTCAGTCAACAATCCCGAGAGCCAAGCGCACACAATCGAATGCTAAGATGGTATCTTCAAGGAGCAAAGGAGAGACGTCTTAACCGATGCAGGAAGGATTTGGGTTCCATTTCAGGGGAAGCTCGGGCTATGAGAGCCACGTGGTATCACAACAATTTCCAAAACAGATGATTTGTCAGATCATCTTCAGGTGTTGATTTTGTTTTCAGCACCTGGTTAACTGTCAAGCTGGTGTAAGTGCTGGTGGGCCTTGGAGTGGAAATGGAAATTCTCAGACCCCATGGTATAGGCAGCTGAGAATTTCAAAGAAGAGAGGGAGGGGGAGGGAAAAAGAGGGGCCCCTTCCCCTGGTTGGGCAGGGGCCCCCTCTGGGCAGCCGCCTTCCCTTCCAGCCCTGTAGAGTCTGAGGCCAGGCCAGACGGAGAGGCCCACAGGCCCGAGCATGCCGAGCCTCACCCACGGGAGCAAAGCCAGGGCCCAGCCTGGAGGTGGCGAGACCCAGGCCGAGGCGGAGGGAAAGGAGTCCGATCGGGTAGATGTGGGCCACCCCGGCCCAGAGAGCTACTTCCACGGTCACATCAAGGGTGGCCCCTTTGGCTGCTGAGAGCATGAGCTATCCCAGCCCACCAAGGGGCTGACCAACCCCCTGGACACACACCTGTCACTGCAGGACCGCAATGCCCCCCCCACCCCCAGGAGAGCAGGAGTAAGGGAAGCAGCTGGGTGGCCACCCAACCTCCCCGTGTGTGCACCCCACTCAGCCCTCCCCTCCCACCGGCTCACTTCCTGCCTCTCAGGGCAGCCAGTGCACGTCTCCTTCCTCGGACCCTTTGTCCTGTGTCTGGAGCAGCCTCTCCTCTGTTAGCCATCTCCCTCCCACCCGTGCAGCCGAGCCCAGCGCTCCACCCGCCCCGCCCTACCTTCGAAAACTTCCCACGATTGACACTGGTTCTCGCCAGCCAACATCAACACACACAGAAACGCACGCCTCACACACACGCACACACATGCACACACGCCCATCTTTATCTGCAGCTCGTTCGGAAGCCAGGACACCTCCTGGCGACGGAGAGGCCCCAGCAAAGCCCTCAGGGAGAAACCAGGCCCCTGAGCCTTCTCCCCTCTCCAGAAGGCACCAGTGACCAGCACAAAGGCAGGCCCACCAGGGAGACCAGAGCGAGAGCCTCCTTACTCACTTGATGAAGTACACGGCTCCTTCCCGGGTGGAATCCATCTCCCAGCCCCTGGGCAAACCTGTGAGAAAACACAAGCACAGAATCAGCCCCGAAAGCCCAACCTGCACCCTGGGGGAGTGGGCGCTAGGAGAACCAGGAAAATTCGGAGAAGCCAACAGCGTTCAAACCAGCATTCCCCTCGCCCCTTTTTTTTAATCCTCATTTGAGGATATTTTCCCATTGGTTTTTAGAGAAAGTGGAAGAGAAACAGAAAGACAGACCAAAATTGATGTGAGAGAAACACATTGGTTGGCTGCCTCCTGCATGAGCCCCACCCAACCAGGGCCTGGGCCAGAGAGGAGCCTGCAACCAAGGTACGTGCCCTTGACCGAATCGAACCCAGGACCCTTCCGTCCGCAGGCTGACGCTCTATCCACGGAGCCAAACCGGTTAGGGCCATTTCTCCCTTTCTGTCCATTATTCTTACCGGTCTGTTTCCAGCCCATACCAATGAGTAGGGACCAAGTGAGTCATCACCTCACAGGATTGGCTCATTCATTCAGCAAACGTTTATTGAGCATCTACTCTGTGCAGGGCTCTGTGCCAGCCCCCGGGGTACAGCAGTGAACACACAGGGGGTGGCCCTGGGAGGGTCCTCATGATCATCCCACGGGCTGTTTACATCACAGCCGCGGACGCTGGAGCCAAGGGTGGGTCACCTGCCCAGGCCTCACAGATAATGAGCACCCAGGCCGGTGTTATTACTCCCAATTCTGCTGCTCGAGACAAGACCCCGAGGACCTAGGAAATCAGTCCCGGGAAAATAATCTTTTAAACAATTTTCTAATAGCACTTCTGAAAAAAATTGTCCATGGAAATGCTGAGCGGAGAGTCATAGACCCGCCGAGGGCGCAAGGACTGAATAGGTGAGGAAGCTGACTTTGGCCCAGAGGTGCCTGGGCCATCCCCTGGGAGGCGGGGCCACCCGTCTCTGAGTGGCCTGTGTCACCCTGCCCGCCCTTCCAAAACAGGCCCCTTGGCGGTGTCTGTCTCCCCAGCAAACAGGGCTCCTCCACCCCGAACAGAGGTGAAGGAGTCTTTTGAGAACCCGAGGCAGGATCTGGGGGAGATCATTCGTTTTGGGGTGCAAGAGGCCCCTGGCTGACAGGTTGGCAAACAGGTGCAGGTTCTCTTCACAACAGTGCCACCTTCCTGGTTGGTCCAAATGCCCGCGGTTTTATAAAAAATAGGTCTGAATCTCTCCAGCCGTATTGTCAGCTGGGTTCTATAGAGCGGAGGGCCCGGTTATTATTCATTCATTTGACTCACCCCTATTTATCAAGGGTCTATTTCCATAGTTGCTGCTGCGGGCAATGCTGCAGCTTCAGCACAACAGGGCAGCCAGGAGGCCCACCTCCCCTCCCAGGACTCGGCCCAGAGAATTAACAGCAGCAGCTACCCCTTAGCGAGGGCTTCCCTCCTCCGAGCTACACAGCTCACCACTGTGAGCGCATTTCCTCTGCACAGCAGCATTACATAATAGGCATCATCCTGCACATTTTTACAGATAACAACCCCGGGGCCCAGAGAGGTTAATCAGCTCGCTTAAGGTCACACAGGAAGTGTCGGAGCTGGAATGCGAGCCTGGTCTGCTGCCTCCAAAGCTCACATTCTTTCCGCTGTGCTGCTCCATAAATGCCACTTGTTCCCTCTGTCCCTGTGGGAGGACCTTGCCATTCAGAAGGGCGTGGGTTGGCAGCCTCCCCAAGTAGAGGGATCCCCACTGGGTCAGAATCATAAAAAATCCTGCCACTGTGATGTGCCTGGGAAAGAGGCCAGGGTGGATGATGTCCCCTGCCTCTTCCAGCAGCTTCCCTCCACACTGCCCTCTCTGCCTGGGCAACACCAAGAGTGCTTATATTCTCGTCCAGGCCGAGTGCCCGCTGAGCCAGCTGCCCTCCCAGCAAGCTTCGGGGGCACCTTAACCCCTTCCCAGCCTTGGACAGCCAGGTGGCTACAGCCAAAATGGAAAGAATGGGCTCACAGGCTTTTATTCACCTTCCTAGAGTCCTACCTAGAGTCCTGATCAGTGGGCGGACTCAGACTGGAAACAGCTGCTGCACAAAAGAAACCAGCCCTGCCTCGGGGCAGGAGCCTCCCTGTCTGTCAGAAACACAACCGTGACCATAACAACAGCGGTCACCTCTGCTGATGGTGACTCTTTGCACGCTTTGTGCTACAACCATTTGAGGTTCATTCCCTATCCCCATTCTACAGATGAAGAAGCCGAGTCCTGGAGAAATTAAACCACTTGCTCATGGCACAGTGATAGAAAGCAGAGCTGAGGCGGGGGCTTACGTCACTCTGCCCCTACATCTTACGCATTGAACCCCGATTCCGCTTTCCTTATTGGCCTTGAGCCAGGGACTTCCTCTCTGTTCTTCAATTTTCTTTTTCTTTATTATTACTATTATCATCATTATTATTATTACTTATTGAGATGACATTGTTCACCATGAACATATAGGTTTCAGGTGTGGGTTTCTACGTTACAAGATCACCCAGAGTCAAATCTTCTGTCACCTTCTATTAGGACTCCCTCCCTCCCCCGCCCCCCACCACCCGTTTTCTTACTTTAAAATGAAGGACTTGGGGACTCCAGGACCCCCGACATCCCTTCCAGCTATAAAACCACAATGATTCCAGCCTGGACTCTAAAAGAAAGCAGGCTGTGGGCAAGTCAGCACTTAACCCAGTGTGCCCCGCGGTGCCACCGTGCTCCGAGGGGGACCAGGCGCTCAGAACCACGTGCCTGCTCTGTGGTCAGGCCAAGGGCTGGAAGGCCCCTGCGCGTGGGTCTCTGGGGCCCGAAGAGGAAGACTGGTTGTTCACTTTGGAGTCCCAGCAGGCCTTCTGGTTCTCCCTGTGGAACCTCTTCACTTTAGACCCGTGGTCGGCAAACTGCGGCTCGCGAGCCACATGCGGCTCTTTGGCCCCTTGAGTGTGGCTCTTCCTAAGCCTTAGGAGTACCCTAATTAAGTTAATAACAATGTACCTACCTATATAGTTTCAGTTTAAAAAATTTGACTCTCAAAAGAAATTTCAATCGATGTACTGTTGATATTTGGCTCTGTTGACTAATGAGTTTGCCGACCACTGCTTTAGACTAAAATCTCTGCCTGTGCGTATCCCCCCATTTCCCACTCTCCTGGCTGTTCCCCTCGGACTGGGAATGGAGTCTGCTCCCTAGTAAGCAATCAGGGTTGGCCCTGCCCCCTTTTCTTTCAGGTTCCCCCTATGTGAAAGAGTTCCTACCAGTCACGTGGGCTTTTTAAATGTAGCTTAATTAACATTTAAAATTCAGTTCCGCAGTCACGCTAATCACACTTCAGCTCTCGGCAGCCCCTGGCTGGTGGCGCCTACTTCGGCAGCCCCCAGAGAGAACAGCTCCATCCGGCATCAGGTTCTTGGGTCCCACTCTGGGGGCCGGGCCCTGCCCAGGCCAGGGGCGATCGGGATGAAGGGGGTTTGCTGACTGCGAAGGAGGTGAGAGAGGAGCAAAGCCTTTGTTCTCAGAGGTCTTCCCCAGATGCTAATTGTAGAGCAGAGGCTTGACCCGAGAGTGAGCATCAGCCGTCCCGCACTGTCCCCCAGAGGGTGGACGGAATGTCCGCTGAGTCCATCCATGGAGAAGGAAAGGCCGGAGGCACAGGCCTCCTGCCACCTCAAGCTATTGCGTCCTTTTATTGTTTCTTAAAAGCTTACTTTCTTTTTCCATCACCATTTAGCCCCTCTGTGCCCTCGTCTACATCCATCCCCCATCACGGCAATCACCACACTGTTGTCCGTGTCCACGAGTTCTCTCTCTCTTTTTTTTTCTTTTTTGCTCAAACCCTCCACTCCCTCCAACAGCCTCCTCCCCCTAGGGCTGTGTGTCTGCTCTCTATCTATGGGTCTGTCTCTATTTTGCTTGGTAATTCGGTTTGTCCATTAGAGTCCACATATGAGTGAAATCCTATGGTACTTATCTTTCTCTGACTGGCTTATCTCACTTAGCGTCATGTTCTCCAGGTCCCTCCATGCTGTCGCCAAGGGTAAGATGTTCTTCCTTTTTACGGCCGAGTAGTGTTCCACGTGTACATGTGCCACTGCTTTTTATCCTCTCATCTACTGATGGACACCCCTGCTTCCTTTTCTGTTGCAAAAACAGGGGCAGAGGAGCTTCTTACCTGGGCTGGAGCAGTATCCACTCTGGATGGGGGATTTCGTACCAGGGTGCACCCAACTGGTTGACTTTTCCTCATCACTATAGAAAACCAGTAAGAAAATGTCAGCTTCAAGAGACCTGCCTGCAAGTTCACATCAACACTGACTGTCCGATCCCAGACACCTGAGATGGAGCATCCACATGCCCTTCATTCATTCATTCATTCATTCGTTCGTTCACATTCACAGAGCATTTACTGAGCAGGCGCTGAGGATTCAGAGAGGAACACTGTCTGATCCCTGACCCCAAAGAAACAAACATATAGAAAGACAGCGGCATAATATAAGGCTGTATGTCAATGGCACCTCAATGTTCAGCGATCAGATTACATTGTGATGTGATAGGAAGCAGAACCCTGTTACAGCCGAGCACAGTGCTGTCCCGTCAGAGAGAAGGAGCACTAACTGGGATGAAGTTGAGAAGAGCAACAGCACGAGGGCTTCGCTAGGGAGGTGACATCTGAGGTGACGGTAAAGTCACGTGGGAAGAATAGGGAAGGTCCTCAAGTGGCAGCTCCTCAGTGGATAAGAAAGGAGGAGGCCGGGTGAGCCAGCAGCCCCTGGGTGTCTATAACACCATCTATTTTCACTCACAACATTCCCTCACATCAGGAATTTTGCAGATGACGAATGTGAGGTTCAGAGAGGTGCCGTCATTGGCCCAAAGCCACACCATCCGTCAGTGATGAAGCCAGGATTCAGACCCAGATCCATACCCCATAAAACCTGAGTTTTTCTTTTTTAAATATATTTTATTGATTTTTTACAGAGAGGAAGGGAGAAGGATAGAGAGTTAGAAACATCGATGAGAGAGAAACATTGATCAGCTGCCTCCTGCACACCTCCTACTGGGGATGTGCCTGCAACTAAGGTATATGCCCTTGACCAGAATCGAACCTGGGACCTTTCAGTCCACAGGCCGACGCTCTATCCACTGAGCCAAACCAGTTAGGGCGGAGTTTTTCTAATATCTTCCTCCCACCAGGGTGGGCTCCCCCACAGTACAGATCCTCTGGGCCCTAGCCGAGGATCCGAGGGCAGATGACCCGTCGATATTTCTCGGCCCACACCAGCCAAGTGGCACTGCCTTCTCCTATACCTTCTTGGCCAATCCAGGTATGTGGAGGAGAGGACTCTCAGGCCACCTGTGTCATCCAGGTTATGAGGTGGGGGGTCCTTGAGGCCCAGGACATTCAGTGCTTTTAAGCTATAATTAATACTTTAAGTAACATAACAAACTCTAGTAAGAAGGGCTCGCAAAATGTTTAGCGAAGCAAGATATATAATAAACTGCACATATTTAAAACGTCTGGTTTAATTTAAAGTTTCATGAAACTACCACAAAAATCAAGAAATGAATTCCCCCAAATTTTCTTTTTGCCCCATGGTAATTCCTCTCAACACCCCCGCCCCCCGCACCCACACACACACACACACACACACACACACACACACACACACACACACCTTTTGCTAACCTTCCCCTCCCCCCAGCAATGAGTCTGCTTCCTGTTACTACAGGTTAGTTTGCATTTTCTAGAGTTTCTAGCGTATTATATAAGTGAATCATACAAGTTAGGCCCCTTTGTTGCTTTCCTTCTTTTCTTCCTTATTCCCTCCCATGTGGTAACGTGAGTTAACAGTTTGTTCCATTTCATTACTGAGTAGCATTCCATCGTAGGATATAGGGTTGTATGTTCTTCCACTCGCTTGCTGATAACCATTGTGGTTGTTTTCAGTTTGGGGCCATTACAAAGGAAGCTGCTAGGAACATCCGGGTCCAAATCTTGGTATGGAATAGGCTTGCTTTTCTCTTGACTCCACTAACTTTCCCCTAAGTTTGGACACCCTCTGCAGGAGGAGATTCCCCAGCTCACCCACCCCTCGAATCAGGAGAGGAGAGAAGGAACAAAGTGACTGCTCTGGTGGCCCGGGGACCCTGGAGACATTGGGCGGCCTTGGGGATGACCTCTGGGCTGGGCTTTGGTCCTGGGAGACAATGGGAGAGGCGGCTGAGGAAGAGTAAATCCAGCCAGCGCTGACTTGTAAGTGTGAGGGGACACCGGTTCTTGTGCCTCCTCCCTGCCACCCTGACGCTTTCTGGCCCCTGGTCCCTCTCCTGCTCTCACACTGTCAGCTCCCTCAGTTTGCCCGGATCATGAATAATCATGAGGTCACCAGGGTGGGCACAGCCCCACCACGCCCTCAGCTTCCTCTTCCCCTGGGCCCTCCGGTGCCAGCCCCTGGCCCAGAACGATGCAGTCACAGGCTATCTCCGCTCCAGCTCTGGGCTGACGGGGACCCTGGGGAATCGGGAGGGTTGATGTCACTGCAAATCCAGTCTCCAAGCTTGGCTGGCCCTAGAATCTTCTTCAGGAGCTCCAGTCAGTTGCCATTTGCTGATCGTTCTAAGGCTTTCCCACCAACCTCAAGTCTCATGCCTGCCTCCCCTCCCCCCCAACCACTCCCCTCTTCTCAATGGATGTCGTGTCTCTTATTTCACACAAAAATAGAAAGCATGGGCAGAACCTTTCCCAGTGGACCTAACCACCCCATCTCCCAAACGCAGCCATGTTGCCGCCCATCCTTTCCTACGTTGGAGAAGAGGCTGCCCTCCTCCATTTAGGTGAATCCCTCTGCCGAGGGGGTAGTCGCCGCCCTCCCCTATCTTTTATAGAATCGTATTCTGTTGGGCTTCCTTCTCCCTGTCAGATCCATCCCTTTAGCCCTCACTCCTGTTCGTGTCTTCCTCTCAGTGCTGCCTCCTCTTCCAGCTCCTGTCTCATGCTCCTCTTCTCAGTGACCAAACATTCCTCTTGGAAACCAGTCCCTCTAGTTGTCCCCGCTTCCTGCTCTCCCACTCAGCAATCCCTGCAGGCTGGTTCTGTGTCCGGCCCGCCCCTAAAACCACTTTCCTGGTGGTCATTAAATACTCCCGCAGCTCCTAAACCCAGTGGACACTTTTGACTTCTCTATTGACCCTTCCTTTCTCCCTAACATCCTTCTTCCTCACTTTCTTTTTTTTCTTTTTTTTAAAAAAATATATTTTATTGATTTTTTACAGAGAGGGATAGAGAGGGAGAGGGATAGAGATGGAGAGGGATAGAGAGTTAGAAACATCGATGAGAGAGAAACATCGACCAGCTGCCTCCTCCACACCTCCCACTGGGGATGTGCCCGCAACCAAGGTACATGCTCTTGACCGGAATCGAACCTGGGACCCTTCAGTCCGCAGGCCGAGGCTCTATCCACTGAGCCAAACCGGTTAGGGCTTCCTCACTTTCTGAGGCAGCACCCGCCCCTGGCCCTGGTGCTGTCCCCCTCTGTGACCGGTCGCCTGCTCCATCCTCTCTTCCCTCCGTCCTTTCCTTAAACATGGGTGCTGCCTGGGTGCCCTCCCGTCTTCTCTCTCACCTACTCCTGGGTGGTTCCACTCCCACATGATGACTCTCAGGACTCTGCAGCCCAGGCCTTTCCCTTAAGCTCTGTCCTATTAGACGTCACCTCGTGAATATCCCACAGGGACTTCAAGTTTGGAATTTTCCCACTGAACTTATCTCGCCTAAAATCTGTTCCTCTCCCCATACTCCTGATCTCTGTCACCTGAAGTAAACAACTCTGAGATTTATCTTCAGATCTTCCTTTTTCCTCCCTTCCCCAACATTCAGGCAGTACATGAATGCTCTCAGTTCCACCTCTCTTTCTCCCACCGCTCCCTCCCCTTCCCTTCTGTTCTCACCACCCCAATTCAGTTCCCCACCAGCCGGCCTTCTGCCATTGCTTCCTAACTGCTCTCCACCCTCAAGTCATCTTCCGTCCAAGCAGCTGCAGAGGGAGCCTTCTAAAATGCAGCTCTAACTATGCCAGTCCTCTGTTTAAAATCTCTGGTTTCCCTTCCCCTACAGAAGCAGGTTCAGACCCCTTGTCCTACCACATCTTCTGCAACCTCCACTCCATCTCTAGGGACCCCTCATGTCCTAGATAGCCTGTGCCCTGGCACCCAGCATGCCCTCCTTCCCATAGGCCTCTGCTTCGAGGCCCCTCTCATTCTGGTCTCTCTCCTCTCGAAGCAGCTCAAATGTTTCCTCCTTGGAGACCATTCGTTTTTTCTTCCTTGTATTCCTGGAGCACCAAGAAAACCCTCTAGAATGGATCCTATTATTTCCTAAGTATTTATTTTCATTTTCTTCCTACCCCTGTCAAGAAAAAAAACCTGGTTTTCTCCTTTTTTTTTTCTTCCTTATCTCCAATGCCTAGCCCTACGGCAGAAAAGCAGAGGACACTCAATAAAAGTTTGTGGAATGAAAGAAGAAGAGAAGCCCAGCCGGTGTGGCTCAGTGGTTGAGTGCTGACCTAGGAACCAGGAGGTCATGTTTTGATTCCCGGTCAGGGCACATGCCCAGCTTGTGGGCTCGATCCCCAGCGTGGGACATGCAGGAGGCAGCTGATCAAAGATTCTCTCTCATCATTGATGTTTCTATCTCTCTCTCCCTCTCCCTTCCTCTCTGAAATCAATAAAAATATATTTTTTTAAAAAAGAAAGAAGAGCCCTAACCAGTTTGGCTCAGTGGACAGAGCGTCGGCCTGTGGACTGAAGGGTCCCGGGTTCAATTCCGGTCAAGGGCATGTACCTGGGTACATCCCCAGTAGGAGGTGTGCAGGAAGCAGCTGATCGATGTTTCTAACTCTCTATCCCTCTTCCCTTCCTCTCTGTAAAAAGTCAATAAAATATATCTTTAAAAAAAAAGAAAGAAAGAAGAGAAGCTAGAAGGCAAATGATATTGGGAAGAAAGATGAGGAGAGTCACATTAATCCTCATCAGAATAACTGAGGAACTTGTGGAAATTCATATCCCCTGGCTCCACCCCAGGCCTTCTGAACGCCTGCAGGTAGCGTCAGGGTCGGCCTTTTTCATAAATTCCTTGGGTGATTCTTATGGGCAACAAAGTCTCAAACCAGGGACAGCAGAAACTCCAGTTTTAATACTGGGGGATTTCTGTTATTTAAGAATCTAACCAGGATCAAGAACTTCAATGGCGGTCATTTCTAAGATAATCTAATTGCAACCTCAATTAGGATCATAGGGATGATAATTACAGAAGAAAGGCCAACAGCAAATGAGGAAACTGAGAAACACTAGAGGGAATCGCTGGCCACCTGCACAGGCGGGGCAGGGGACTGGCTAGCGTCAGCAGCTACCGGCCTGAGTCCGAGCCCTGATAACAAGTGGCTGTGTCTCAGACGAGGACCTTCCGCCCGAGGACCTCGCTTCCCCATCTGAAGACGGAGGGCTTGCGTCTGAGATGCCCTCTGCTCTCCTGTCCTGAGGGGCTCTCCTGAGGAAGGGACAACTCCTCCTGGGTGGGGAACAGCTCAGGATGCTGCGCTTGTAGACTTGCTGTATCCTCGGGAGACATTTCTCTCCTGGCAAAGCATGACTATGGTACCAGCGGCCAAAATAGCGCCAGCGGGGCCACTCTGTTATAATGAGATTATGCCAGAGCCATTTCGGTTTATGGAATTAATATAACAGTGCTAATATATGACTGCGAGCAGCAGAGGCTCGCTCTCCGAAGAATGCTGATGTGCTGTGGGCGTCCCCTCCCTCCTCTGGACCACAGCCCCAGAAAGAAGCAGGAAGGAGAGGCGGCGGGCCTGGGGAACACTGGGTCCTGGGGTGAGGATATGCCAGGACCTGGACGGTAGGGGCCGGGCCCCCTGATATCTTGTCACTTAGCCCAAGTCTTCCCTTAAGGAGGGGGGTGGGGACAACAAAGAAAAAGAAAGAACTCAGCCCTGGCCCGTTCAGCGGACAGCACCGGGAAGAAAGAGCTGCAGGCTGGGCCCCGGGTCCGGTCGTCCTCCCCTTTGGGTCTGAGGCGGGAGGAGGGGGACGGCCCCACCTGCCCTGCCTGGCCCTGCCCTTCCAGCCCTCGGAACGCTGAGTCTGTGCTGGACTTTGAACGCCCAGGAAAAGGCGGGAGACCCATTCAAACCGGCATGTGATAAACTTGTTAGTCATGCCCCTTGTCCCGGCCCCTGCTCCCCTGCCCTCGCCAGCCGCCCCCAGCCCCGCCGCCTTTCAAGTTGGACAACTTTAAAGAAATCAGAAATCAACGAGACGGACGACATACTTGATGAAGAAGACTCTCCCACCGGGGTCCACTCCGTAGGTCCACCGGCCCAGCAGGTCCAGCCAGGCGGGCTCATCGGCCATCTCCGCGTCTCGCTGCCCCCCTGGCTCTCCAGCCACCCGAGGGGCCGAGCTGGCAGGGGCTCCCCACCGGCAGCCCCCACTTTCTGCTCCTCCTGGAGGCAGGGATGGGGGCGGGGAGGGGGTCTGAGGTCGGTGCAGCCCCGGCTGACGGCGTCCCTCCGGGTCCGTCCGGGCAGCGGCTCCGGCCTCTCCCTGGAGGCAGCTGGCCGCCAGCCGGGCAGCAGGAGCCGGCACGGCTTAACCCTCGCGGGGCCGAGCGAGCTCCACGCCGCCCAGCCCCAGCCGGCGCCACCTGCCTCCTGCGCGAGCCGACTCCTCTTGGGGCGCCCGTGAACTTGGGGACTGGAGCCCGGCGCGGCGAGGGCTGGGACGCTCGGGCCGGACCGCTCAGCGCCGCTCCCGGTCCCGTCCCCCCGGCCCCGCGCCGGCAGCCTGGCGGCCGAGCAGGGAGCAGGTTGCTGTGCGCGCCGGGAGTGTTCCTCGCCGCCCAGCTCCCAGCCCGCACTTGAACCTGCGGCGGGCGGGGGCGGGGCCAGGGCGCCGCCTCCGAAGTAATTCACAGCCAGAATGAGCCGCAGCCTGCAGGTCCCCAAGTCCAGATGCCGGGCGCCGGAACCAGTTCGGCTTAAAGCTGCGATCCACGAACCGGAGGGACGTGCCCAGCCACTAAACGGAAAAGAGGACTTGGTCAGACCTGGTTATACTTGGCGGGAGGTAGGAGAGGAACAAAGGTCAAGTGCAGGGAAGGGTGGTGACGGCTTGGGTGTGGGTAGCAAGGGGCCCTGGGAGACTCCTCTTGCTAAGACTCCTCATTAGTCAAGCTAGTCCTCACCTTTCTTTCTGAGCACTTCCTCCAAGAAGCCTGCCGTGACTAAGTAGAATCAGAGGAGACCTTAGAAAGACACGCAGAAGCCAAGAGCTTTTATGTGCCTTCCCCCAAACTTTCAGCAGAAAAGGGAAAGGGAAAGAAAAAGCAGAGGAAGGAGGAAGTGTGTTCTGTGCACAGAACACAGGTTGCAAGCATCCGATACGGGCGTGTCAAAGTGCCGCTGCCGGGTCCACGCTCTGCCGTCTCCGGGCTGTGTCAAAGCTGGGCTCCCCTGGGCTTCAGTGAGGTGCACACGGTTTCCACCCGTGTGTCAGGTCGAGGGGAACAGACAAGGGGAGAGACACCTGTCTTTAGAGCAGTGGTTCTCAACCTTCCTAATGCCGCGACCCTTTCATACAGTTCCTCGTGTTGTGGTGACCCCCAGCCATAAAATTATTTTCGTGGCTACTTCATAACTGTAATTTTGCTACTGTTATGAATCGTAATGTAAATATCTGATATGCAGGATGTATTTTTCATTGCTACAAATTGAACATAATGAAAGCATAGTGATTAATCACAAAAACAATATGTAATTATATATGTGTTTTCCGATGGTCTTAGGCGACCCCTGTGAAAGGGTCGTTCGACCCCCAAAGGGGTCGCGACCCACAGGTTGAGAACCGCTGCTTTAGAGGAAGCCATGTGTCCATGGCAGTTTGCAAGCACCTGTGGAGTGGGCATCCTTGCTGTGAGCACCATGAGGGATTTGATCCCTGTTCGGCCCAGGTAACTCCTGCTCACCCTGCAGTGTCCGCCCAGGTGTCACCTTTCCCGGGAAGCCATTCTTGACTCCACCCCAGACAGACTGATGTGTCCCCCCTCCACGTGTCAGGCAGCCTCACTAATAACCCTATAGTGGGACTTACCGCACCGCGATGCAATCCTTCATGTACTCATCTGTCCCCTTCACTCGGCTGTGTGTTCCTCCGGGCAGGGCCTCCACCCCACTCATCTGTCTAGCTCCAGCGCCTACCTAGGGGCACCCAATTCATGTTTGATGAATGACTGACACTGGCGTAACTGGGACCTTCTTTAGGGTCCTGGTTACATCAGCAACCTCGGGGTGTGTGGGAGAGAGCTTTCTGGAAAAAGAAGCAGCTAACAAACCTTACAGGTATCCCAGATTCTCAGCCTGGAGGGTATAATTGTGTTCACATCTGAGAGATAGTGAAGCTAGAAGACGCCTCAGAGAGCATCTGGTCCAGTCCTCTTGTTGAAATGTGGGGGACTGCAGAGCACAGGAGGGGAGGTGCCAGTTAAGGTCACTGAGCGAGGTGGTGACAGAGAAGGATCTGCCCACCAGTGTCCCCGGCCAGAGCTCTTTCTATTAGATCGCTCTGCTTCCGACACTGGAAATTCACACTCCCAATGCACACACAGTTCGATTCCTGTGTGCCAGGTGTAAGCTGAGTATGTTCCCTGGATGCAGAAATCATGACACCCAACTCTTCTCGCCCTTCTCACACCCTACTGTTTCTAGTAGAAAAAGCAGAGAACCTATATGAGGATCGATGCCCCTTAGTTCCTGAATAGAGGAGGGGGGCAGGCTAAGGGATCAGACTCCTCACCAGTCCCCAGTCTCCCCAGCCTTGTGAAACACCTGTGAGACTAATCCCACTGATAAAGCACAGAGCCACCTGCCCAGCCCCAGTGATATCTGAGGATCTGAATCCAGAATTGCTGCCACGATGCCTCCAGGGAAAATACCAGCAACCAGTGAGTTCCCGGTCCAACCTGAGCAACCAGAAAGGGCAGCTGCTTGGGCTGAATGTGGGTGGAAATAGGGGACAAAATGACATCTATTTGAAAACATGTATTCCGCTCTTGTCTACTCTGAGGAGTAGGAGCTCCTGTTAATTTAGTCACAGGATTTTTATTTTGTTTATCTCTAATGGAGACTGAGGTTCCTACGACCATTTACCTAGTCAAGAAAAGGCCAGTGGTTGAGATTTTGAATGTGTTTTACTCACTTGAACTAAGAAAAGAAATCAGGTTTGAAAATACTTTTCTGTGGCATATTCTTTTTTAAAAATATATTTTATTGATTTTTACAGAGAGGAAGGGAGAGGGATAGAGAGTTAGAAACATCGATGAGAGAGAAACATCAATCAGCTGCCTCCTGCACACACCCTACGGGGGATGTGCCCGCAACCAAGGTACATGCCCTTGACTGGAATCGAACCTGGGACCCTTCAGTCCGCATGCCGACGCTCCATCCACTGAGCCAAACCAGTTAGGGCCTGTGGCATATTCTTGCCAGTGACTTTCCATTTGAGTTCTTTGTTTGTTTGTTAATCCTCACCCAAGAATACTTTTCCATTGATTTTTTAAAGAGAGTGGAAGGGAGAGTGAGAGACAGAGAGAAACATCGATGTGAGAGAGACACATTAATTGGTTGTCTCCTGCATGTGTCCCAACTAGGGCCGGCCTGCAACCAAGGTACGTGCCCTTGACTGGAATTGAACCTGGGACCCTTCAGTCCATGGGCAGATGCTCTATTTATTGAGGCAAACCGGTTAAGGCTCCATTTGAGTTCTTGATTATGAACTATTATCAATATTAATACAGCCCTGGCCAGTTTGGCTTGGTGGTTAGAGAGTCATTAAGAATCTTAATGAGATTATTCTGGATTATTTGGGTGGGCCCTAAATTTAATGGCGTGTCCTTATAAGAGAAAGGCAGGGGAAGACTTGAAAAAATGGAAGAGGAGAAGGCAGTGTGACCACAGAGGCAGAGATTAGAGTGATACAGGACAAGTCAAGGAATGTCGACAGCACCAGAAGCTAGATGAGGCAAAGAAGGAATTCTACCCTAGAGCCTCCAGAGCGAATATGGCCCTGTCAACCCCTTGATCTTAGACTTCTGGCCTCTAAAATCCCAAGAGAATAATTTTTTATTGTTTTAGGCCACCCAGTAGCCATGGGAGATTAATATAGTACCTACAGGAAAATCATAACTTAATTATGATTTTATGTTATTTTCACTTATCTAATATCCAACCTTCCTTCTTCTGTTACTAGCCCCCTGCGTTTCCCTTTGACATCTATCCTTCTGCCACTGTCAGTCCATGTGGATTGGGTGGGCTGGCCCCACCCCCACCCCAGCTCCATTGGAGAATGGAGACTAATGTGGATAATCTGTCTCTCTATTTTCCTGGACATAGTGATTGGTTCAGGAAGGATCACGTGACTCACACCAAACCGATGAGATTCCGTTTTAAGAAGATCCCAGAATTCTTGGGAAGCCTTTTTTTCTCTTGGATTTGAAGCTGGCATGTGTCATTGTGATGCTGCTGGGGAGAGCCTACTGAAAATGAAGCCAATACAGAAAAAAGTGGAGCCAGAAGATGGGGAAAGACTGGGTCCCCCTTATATCCCATAAGCCCTAGAACCCAGCTTGCCAGAAAAGGCTCTACCCCTGGAATTTCAACTTGTTGGTGCAAATAAATACCCTTATTCACTTCAGCCAGTTTGAGTTGGGTTTATACCCCTAACAGAAAAGTCCTGACCAATATAAAGGTCATAGTGTCTTGTGACCCTGTTTCTTTGGCATAACCAGTGTTCTTTGGGAAAGCCAATGAGATAACCACCTGCATTTGTAGTGACTTGAGAATAGGAACTCTTCTCTTCCAAGGAAACCACAATTTTAGATCAAGAAAGAGTCTTAGCCCTGGCTGGTTTGGCTCCTTGGATAGAGCATCAGCCTGTGACTGAAGGGTCCCGGGTTCGATTCTGGTTAAGGGCACATGCCTAGGGTTGTGGGCTCAATACCCAGTGGGGGGCATGCAAGAGACAGCCAATCAATGATTCTCTCTCATCATTGATGTTTCTATCTCTTTCTCCCTCTCCCTTCCTCTCTGAAATCAATAAAAAAATTTTTTTTTTAAAAAGGAAGGGTCTAAGTGGTCATCTAATCCAAAGCCTACATTTCCCCCTGGAAAATACTGGAGAACTCGGGGGGAGTTCCCAGAGTTGTGGCAATTCCATGGTAGCGCTGGGACCACAACTGAGGTCTCCTGAAAACCTGATCAGTAGAAAACTCTATTTCAAGACACTTGCTTCATCATTTAAATATATTTGGTGAAGAGACTCACATAGTTACAAGAAGATTATAACAGATTCCTCTGCTCTATGAAAGAATAAACACACCAGTAATTTTTATTGAGAGCTGATGTTTAATAGTTATATTCATCTGCAACTAGGTCACCAGCCGTTGGGGATTTTTTACAGGAACTAGGAAGCAAAGGAAGAGAAGGCAAGGGCTCCGTCTGCTGGGATTAGATGGACGATGGTGTAAATATGCAAGAGCCCAGACAAACTCGTTGCTTTTTTAAAGTTGTGCTTCTAGAAGAGCTTGAGAGAAAAGGTTTTCGTTACAAAAACGATTGTACTAGTGTTGGTAACCAGAGGACTGTAGGGTGTGGAGGGTTCCCTACAGCCAGTTGAATTGAATGACATTTGTTCCACAGGTATTTTTTGAGTACCTTCTGTGGGCTAGGTACTCTCTTAGGCATAGGGGATCCAGGAATG